TGAGTCTGTTTTGCCTGTGACAGTAATTGGTGAGTGATCTCTCCCTGTCCTTAACTCAACCCATGAGACTTTCTTTGTCTTTTCTATCCCCTGTCCAGCTGAGGAGGGGAGTCATAGAGCAGCTTTGGTGGGCACCTGGTGTCCAGCAAGAGTCAACCCACCACAGTGCCCCAAACCTGAAGGTACATAAAGCAAGGGCTTCTTCCTTCCATATCCTGGGGAAAAGAAAAACCTCCCCATCCCTTCTTAAGGGTTTATCTTTTTTAACACCAACTCATATGGGTTGGTGTTAAAAACTTTAAACAACTCTAACACAAGCTCATACAGGCTGATGGCTGATGGGGACAGGCTGCAGTTGAGGTGTCTGGCTCACCACCATCCCCTGGCAGTCTGGGCGACACCCTTGGCAGAGATACTTGTCACAGACAACTTCTTAAAGGGAAATACATTAATCCATCTGGTGAGTCCTGGCTGGAAGGAAGAAAGGGAAAAGGAGGGAGGGCAGATAGGGTTATCTGTGCTCTGCAGTGATGGGACGAAGATGCCAAATAGAGTCCAAAGGTGGAGACAGAAGCAGCAGTGGCTCCCCTCACAAAAGGGGTGATATGCAGACGGGGTGATCTGAGGGGAAGATGAAGCAAGTGAGATGCAGGGCAGAGCTGTCAGCGCCACTGCGCTCTGTCCTCTCCCTGGGTGTATACCACCCCCACCCTTGGTATGTACTGTTGGACTTCTGCTGTTCCAGGGGGCCTGGGAGCCCCCAGCCACTCTGAAGGGGACTGAGGTGAAGTGTAGAGGAGCCCTGCCCTGGCTGTGGGGGGCCAAGGACAGGAACTCTTGGATGCGCCCATCCCCAGGATGGACGGAGCAGTGGATGTTGCTGCTCAGAGCTGCTGCAGGAGGAGGTTCAGAGCTCATCTCTGTTGGGTACTTCCCAATGCAGACAGCCATTGTCTGGTCTAAGGTTGTCTTTTATAAATGCTTTGGAAGCCTTGGGCTTAGGTGGCATGCTTGGAGATGTGTGTGGACCGTGGAAGCACTGCGTGGCATCAGCCTTGACATTTGGGGTCACCAAAGGGTTCCCACAGTAGGGATGCTGAGCAGAAGACAGCGTTGTGTTTGCTCCCAGTGGTTTGAGGCTCATTGGGGTTCCATCAGTGACATCTAAGCAGGCTCCAGAGATCCTCAACACTTGGCATTTATCTGTTATTGCAAGCCTGTGCCTGCCTTGTCACCAGAGACACTGAGCCCACGTCAGCAATAAACAATATACAACAGCTGGACTTGAGTCTGCAGCATAGTGGAAATGCTGTGCTTTGCCCCATGAGAAAATGTTTTAAGGTCTACTGTTACAAAGTGCCCAAGAGGTTTAATTTCATATCTGCCCTCTCAGCTCCTCAAGTGCAAACCTTGCCCCTCGCTGCAGTGTTTTCCCCCCAGTTTTCTTATGAGCTCCAGGAAACCTCCCCCAAAGCTCGAGTCCAGCATCACAGGTGCCCAGAAGCATATCGTAATGGTAAAGCAGTTTGTAAATATTTCCCTAAAGCAGTGGAAATATACCTCTGGATACTAATTTTAACACAAAGTGGCTTATTGTGGTGAAGGTAAGCCTGTTCCTAAATCAAATAAGAGGTGGCACCCCAGAGATCCAGGGGCTTGTTCCTAATCAGGCTTGACTGATCCAAGGCCAGGGCAATGTTCAGTCAGTTTGGCTAGTTCAGAGATGTTTTGGTTTCACCTGAGCCAATTACCTGGCTCTTTTTATTTTTTTTTTTTAGTTATTATTATTCTAATTGATACATTAAAGAGGAAAACAGACAGCAAAAGCCTTATTTATTTACAGACTGAGGCCAGTGCCAGCCAAGGAGAGAGCCTGCCACAGGAGAGGTTGACACGTGGAGGCTGGGAAGGAGGTGACAGTCCCCTCACCGTGTCCTGATGCTAAAATCCCCCAGAGTGGTAAGCAGGCAAGGACTTGCCCGTGGGCTGCCCAAGGGCCACTCTGTGCATCCCTGAGTAGGTCTGCTGCTGCCCCAAGCTCATGGCAGCATTGTGATTGTTCTCTGGAAGAATCCCAGAAAGCTGGTGCCGCTATGCAGTTTCTGGCAATTGCTTCTTGGAATGGTGGCATTTAGAAACTGATGTTTGAAAGTTTCAGTTCCTTGCAGGAGATGCCCTTGGAAGAATTCTTGTTTGCTTGGTTCACAGGACTTCCAAAGAGACAGGGGAAAGGAAAATAGGATTTGTTTGTCTTTTTGTAATGAAGCACTGTAAAGTTCTTTGTAAATTGTAAAACAATTGGTAAAAAAACAAATGCAGATGCTCTACAAGGACCAGAAGAACCATTTGTTTGTGCTCCAGAAAAAGTTTTAGTTAAAAATGAGTACATCATACCTCTGTATGTCTTTTGCTAAGGGGGAAATAGGCAATAAACCTTGAGATGTCAACTTACGAGGAGTGAAAGATGCATTGACTTCCTCATGAGCATCAACACATGCAGATCAGGCTATGTGATTAAATAGAGGAGAGAAATATTGGTTTTTCCTTCTTTTGCATTCAGTGTAACTAAGTGTTCTCCTAAAAAACAGAGTACCTTGACATGCTTTCTTCTTATCATCCATTCTTTGTGCTTTTCTTTTACAACCCCCCCATTTTCTTTCCTCTCTCTGCCTGGCAAAGTTGCTCTTCACCTCTAGTCCATTTCCCCTCGTATTTTATAGCCTCTACAGAAACTATTTCTGAAGTTGTTCTTTTAAAGATAGCCCGGCTGTACCTGAACACAGGGTTCCTGGCAATGAATAAGACAGTGCTATTTTTTTTTTATTTACATCATCTCTCCTTACACAATCCAGTACCAACCACCAGAGACAGCCTGGTTAATTCTGAGGAAACTCCCCAAACTCCCTCTATTTCCTAAGGATTTGTTCTGGTGGCAACAGAGCAATAACAAAAAGGCACTCCAAGCTCATGAGTGAGGTTTGCTGTGTTTGTTATTCTACTAAGCATGCAAAAGGAATATTTATAACAGGGGTACAAATGACTTTCCCAGAAAACCAGACTATTTCCGTAGAACCTTCTGCTGGGAGCAGAAGACTTCTGCTGCAGTGTCTGAGGCTGAGCAGGAGCAGCCCAAGCCTGAAGCTCCTCCCAGAAACACAGTCACCTCCTGAGCAGCTTGTGAGCACCGAGATGGGGTCCCAGCTGTGAGGGACCCACACAGGGCCCTGCCCTAGACACCCAGCATGCTTAGAGAGCGGAGGGGGGCCAGGGCTCTCTGTCGGAGGTAGCACACCCTGGAAAAGGGGGGTTCAGTGCAGCATCCCACTAGGGCATTTCCCTCCCTCCTCCTGCTCACACCTCATGCTCCTGGTACCTAGGTGATTGCTTTTGTGGAAATTTCTGCCGGGAAAGCTTTTACCTCCCAGTGCAATGTAGTGGTCAGTGATAAAGGCAAAGCCTTTACCAGCAGACCACAGGCATGCAGAAGAGGCTCCGTGGCCACACATCAATCTGACAAAGCATTTTTTTCCCTCTGTCTACATACATTTACAAAGATGACTGTTAAAACTAACTTGTCTAAACAAGCACAAAACACCAGCTGTTCTTTTATTACAATAGAACATTTTAATGACACCCCCCACCCCCCCCCCAGCAAAAGCAACCCAAGCCCTGCAAACAGCTGCTCTCCCTTGGTATGAAGCTGCCAGAAGAAGAAAGCTTCATGTGTGTGCAGTGAGCTAGGTTTTTTTTTTTTTCTGTCTCTATTTTTTTTTTATTCTGTGACTCAGAGATATGGATTATTAAATGGAGAATTGGTAATTTTTTAAAACCTTGAGAAGGCTTAGGTTCAGCTCTGATGTCTTGAGATCTCTGAGCTGGATGTTGAATTCTGTCTCTGCGTGGCAGCAAACACCATTGCAGTAAACTCCAGCGCACAGTAAACACCACTCTTACTTTTTTGATTCACAGTCGTTAATTAACAAAGGTTAACAGATAATCAAGGGCAAGAGCGGACATACCACCAGTGATGCTCCTGTAAGTGCAGTCCTGCTTCATCAGTTCTGGTCCTGATTTATACCACTATAGCCTAGAAGATAGCGTAAAAATGACGGCCCTCCAGAGAAGCCACTACTGCAACTTTTCTAGCTGTTCCTTACAACAAGCCTCCTTCCTAAATCATATAGCTTAAGTTTGTATTTAAAACCCTTGGAGCAAAAATAGAGAGGTGGTTTTTGACTTGCAGTGCAGCATGACACAGCCGTCAGTCCTGGGCGCAGTCCTGCACGATCGGTGATGGGTCTCATTTGTGGCGAGACGGGTTAACTCAGTGTATTATGTGCACGTGCAGTGTGTAATGTGATGCGGTGGAGACATACCGCTAATATTTACCAAATATGGTGGGTCTGTCATGAGGAATAGATATGCCCCCTTCTTCCAAGGATGTTCAAGGTGGTGGACGATTTCTTTTGCATCCATCTCCTTGTAAGACTCTGTCTTGTAAAAGCTTGCTTATAAGAAAACCATTTTAAAATGGCAAAGGCTGCTTGGGAGTTTTACCCGTTACTGCACCCAAGCAGGGCTGCTACCTCAAAGTTCCTCCTCCTTTGAGGTCCTTGATGTTGTGATTTTTAGAAAATACTACAAATTGCACAGAACACAGATGCAATGAACAACATGTAATAAATTGAAACCATGGTTTTACTGGTAATTTACTCCACCTTTTCCTATTGAGTTGTCTTTCACGATTTACACATCATTCTCACTACTCTGTGGTCCCTGCTTGCTCTGTTAACAAAAATACAACTACTCAAAATACAAACGGTTACAAAATACCACGTCTTGACAAATATCCATTCTTTCGTGACTCTTCTGGGAAAAGGAAGTTCCCTTCCTGTGCAGAGAACGCCTGGAAAAGTGTGGGCTGCAGTCTCAGGGCTGCTGGTGTACGTTTGTCTTGTGCTAGCACTGGTCTCTGTGTAGCTGCCAGTGCCTTTCATTACTGTGAAAGCCCCTTCTGCAGCTCTGTGTGGCAACAGCAGCTTGTAGGCTGCTTCTTTGTACTTCTTTGAAATGAGGTTGTAGAGGATAGCACTGATGGATCAGATGAAGAAGCTGCAGAGCAAATGTATTAAAGTACTGGCAGAACAGCATCATCCTGCTGTCCTGGGTGTTTACAAATACGATTCTGCCAATGTAGAAAGGCAATCAGCAAATTGCAAAGGCCAGAACCACCACAGCTGTAAGACAAAATAACACATGTAGTAGTTACGGAGGGAGTTACCTTTTCAACCATCCAGTAAACTAAGTTTTATGTGGCTGATTCTGCAGGTTCTTCTAACCAGTACAAATGATGTATAGAAATTATGGCATTCCATTGTTGGAAGCCCATGAAAATGGGAATAGCATCAAGTCTTTGGATTGAAAGGTAACTGGTAAAATCTTCAGCTCAACTCTGAGATGATTTTGCTGAGAAAAATGCAAACTACCAGTGGTGTAACATCCGTATAGTAACACCAGGCACAAGAAAGATTCTCCTTGACGTCTGTAATGCCATGTATGTGATATGAAAATGAAAGTCAGCTTAAGAAGTGTTTTTGTGGAAGCACACAGCAGCTCCATTCACTACAGAGCTGTTCTTTAACATGTCTACATGAAAAAGACCGTAGCGTAAGGGCTGAACATCAGTCACCCAAGCTCCCACTGAATTCGCACTATTTTAATGGGATGGTTGCTAAGGTAAAGACATAGTGGAGTTGGTCTATTGACTTTTTTTCCACTGAAGCTCCTACACATATCCCCAATTACTGCTGGTGGCAGATATTTGACTAGATGGATCTCTAGCCTGAATCACTCCAGCTGTTCTCATGGTCTTGTCACATTTTAGCACAATACAAACCAACACAAAACAAGAGTTGCCACTCTTGCAATGGCAACACAGCAGGAGCAGATGAGGAACAATTAAATAAGCATATTACGGTATCCATATTTTTAATTATTTTTGTTTATAAATGCACATAAGTAAAACAAATTTTTCAGAGTTTAAAAAAAGTCATATAGCCAAAGCAAGTTTATATCTGAAAAACATCAGAGGTGTAGTGCTTCTGGCTCTTTGAGATAAGGGGGAATTGGTCTGGTTTAGTGGGTTTTGAGGAGATTGTGGACAGGTGTTTCTGTTGGAAAACCTTGTGCCTACTCTAACGTAAATACCTTCCTCAGGTAAGTTAGCAAAATGTACTCTCTTGGGCTTATTAGTCTTTCCTTCGTGCTACGCTGTTTCCATCCAGCTGATGACATCCTTGGCAAAAGAAGTCTCCCATGTAGCATGTAAAAACTTTTGCTAAAAGTAGAAAAAAAAATAACCAGGGCATTTTGTTTTATGTTAATTAATCAATGGCTGGATTTATTTTTTCTTTTGATTTCTTTTCCTTTTTTCCCCCTTCAGATCATATACTATTTACAAACTTTAAAGCCCCAAGGGCACACTGCAATCTCAAACTTTGCAGAGCCTGATGCTAGCTTAATGAATTCATGACTAAGAAAATGAACTAAAAATTAACAGCATCCTATATTAGCAGGAAGTGCTTCGCTATTATGTCATTTGTCTGCAAATGGCTCGTAAGGGTTAAGCTGCTCTTTATCAGCCTGCTTGAGCTACCAGCGGATTTACTCCTAGGAAATCTATGAACGACTGCTAAGAAAATCAAACTTGTTTTTTCAGAGGTAAAAATTTGGTACCGAGTGTTGCTGCGCACTGGAAGAGATTACTGGTGTTACCACATCTTTTCTGAAATTGCAGACTACCTTGTACTTGGTTCTGCCTGGTAAAATTCAGAAAAAGGGGAATTTCTACAGCAGGCAGCAAAGCTGCTGGATGTGCAGTGCTACACCAGGTGAAGCCTCGGCTGTGAGGGAGTGAAATCCCTGCCACAGCAGTCCCTGGGAGCACTGGAGAGCTCGGCAGCATGGCTGGGATGTTCCCCTGCGCTATCCCTGCCCTGCATGGGAGCTGCGGGTGCTTCAGCCCCAGTCCTAGCCCCCGCCATGGCCCCCCAGCCCCAGCTGGGATGGAGGAGGGACTCACCCGTGATCTTGACAGCCTGGCAGTGCCCCTTCTCCCAGAGGACTGCGCTGGGGCCCCGCAGGTGGGTGTTGCTCCGCCACAGCTCCCAGATGATGAAGCCATAGAGGATGTTGAGGCAGGTGATGGGCAGGACAAAGTAGGAGGTGGTGACCCAGAACATGGTGGCCAGCAGGCTGGACTACACAGCCTGCAGGGTGGGCTCGCACTAGCAGCTGAGGTTGGTGTGGTTGAAGGAGGAAGAAGGAGGGGCTGGCAGAGAGGAAGGTGAAGGCCCAGAGGACACCGATGACGGCTTTCACCCAGCGCTTGGTGATGACCACCTTGGCTGTGAGGGGGAAGCAGACGGCGAGGCAGCGCTCCAGAGTGAGGGCAGTGATGTGGAGGATGGGGCAGCAGGTGCAG